AAAGCTCCAAGAGGAAAGGCAAACTTCTTGACTATTTTGAGTTCTGTAACCAAGATTACCAGGCTGTGCTAAAGCACCTGTCTGTCCGATGGTTGTCACTACAAGGATGCATGGAGAGTATTCTTAAAAAGTTTCCTAGTTTGAAGTCATACTTTTTAAGTGAAAATGGCACTGGTGGTGATCAGCAATTTCAAAGGCTATGATTAACAATGGTTTGATAATCCATTGTTAGAACCTGCTTTGCTTTTCCAAACCACAGCAATTACACTATTTACAGAGTTCAACCTCCTTCTACAGAGAGATGAACCAACTATTCATGTGGTAAAGCCAGCAATGGAAAGCCTAGCAAAAAAGCCTGCAAATCGATTTATCTTGCCAAGTGCGATGAAAGATGTTGATTCAGCCACAGAACTAAACCTTGATGATGAACATATCTTTACGGAAAACAAATCAATATTCCTAGGGGGCACCACAAAGTTTACATTGAACAGATTGCTTAATGTTGGCACCATTAGTGATGCTAATTACAAGAAAGTCCACTTGGCTGCTCATCATTATTTCAAATCTTCTTTAGAATATATACTGAAAAAATTTCCAAATTAATAATGATGTCTTTTGTAATGCTGTCTGGGTGAATGTACCGTTACGACATCATGCCAGTTGGGAAAGTATTGAATTCTTCCTATAGAAATTTTTATCACTGACCTTGATGGAGAGTATCGATCCTTACAGTCTACATGAAGAATTTGTAGATTATCAGACCATCAGTGATGATTCCATTGGTAATGGTGCATGAGAGCAAGGAAAAGCTGTCGATGGAAAAGATGCTGAGGGAAATGAGATTGTTCATCATAGAATTGACATTCTGTGGTGGCACCTTGCCAAGCTAAAAGTTCCAGAGACGGCGTAGAATCGATAGGAAAAAAATCAAGAAAAATTCAATTTTTCAAAAGTATCATTTTTAGACAGTTTTACTAATAATCTTTCTTATACAATAGAGTTTTATAATACTAGGCTTTTATTTTACGTGATTTTAGAGGTGTTCTAAGATGCACCATAAATTTTTTATTGGTAACCATGGAAACCACATCAATTTTTTTTCAAAATAACCATGTTATACAGTTTTTCATGGTGATTTTCATTTTGTTTTGTAAAAGTAGAGTCCTTACAAAGAGGACTGGTAAGTAGCCCACTTACATCGCCTGGTTACCAAGTCAGAATGTTTATGCATTCATGCTTGTAAAGAAAGTCAGTGAAATGCTTTGTTGTAATCGTGTCAAAATCTGGTCAAAATGCCTAATAATAAGAAGTTTGTTCGATCGAAGGGTAAAAAACGAACGTTTCATGAGAATTGTTATGTTAAAGTCAACAAATTAGTTGATTCTCAGTCTTCTGAAACTGAGAAAATACATGAAACAAGTACGACTACTTTGTCAAGTGATGTGGCATCTACGAGCGCATCAGAAATCAGATCCTTGCCTGCCTCAAAAAGAAAACTTCATTCTGATGTTTCAAGTGAGGATGACGAGGGTTTATCTGATGGATTTCGCCTGGTAGATATATCTATTCTGATGTCGATTTTTAGCACATTTCTGTGCCCAAAATGTAAGTCTGGTCATGTCGTAATGGAAGAAGACACATCGGCAAAAATGGGACTTGTTTCTCAACTGTCATTCAAATGTGCTCGAATGTGCACATATTCCAAAGTTTTTGATAACTTACAAGTGTATTATGGTAAGGAAATAAGAAACAATTCCCACAGCATGGAAAGGATGAAGAATGCTATATGGGCAATATGGAACCACACTAAGTCAACAGATGCTAACCCAGACCACGACCTTTGCCCTAAAGGAGAAAGCAGTTGGTGTGGGTATCAGAGAGACTTTGTAAAGAATACCCAAGAGTATTCTCACAGTTATCCACTGCCAGAAGCTGTTTCACAGTGTATATTGCCAGTTTTCACAGATCTGAGCAAAAGTCATCTGCTGTCTTCCTGTCTCCATGGTGGTGGTACACAAAACCAAAATGAGGCATTCAATGCCTTGATTTGGCAGCGTGCCACCAAGAAGACACATTCAAGCCTGCCAACTGTGGAACTGGCAACCTTTCTGGCTGTGGGTGTTTTTAATGATGGCTCTAAAGCAATATTAGATGTGTTGCAAAATATGGGTATCATTCCTGGCTATAATACTAAGGCTGGATTGAAAAAAATGGACTATGACCGTCTTCGTCATTCAACCAGAAAAAGCTCAGAGAAGCAGAAAAGTAGGAGAAAGAGAATAAGACAAAGAAAAAAAGGATATTTTGACAAACTTACAGAAAAAGAAGGCACCCACTATGAAGCTGGAGCATTTTAAGATCTAAACTGAAACTGCTTTGGTGATCCTAAACTTTGCAGCTAATTTTCTCAATTTATCATTTTCAGCCTAGATCGAATGTGCTTTTCGTGATTTCTGAAGAACTATAAGACCTACTGATCTGAAATTTTCACTGAAGATTTATGATCATATTGTTTGTGGAATGAACTAGAATTTTTGATGTAGCACTAACTCAACACAAGTTATAAGCATTTTGGTTAATGGAATTTTGACGATTTTTATTACCTTACTTCAAGATACTAATTTTTAATGAAAGGATAGCCATATCAAGCTGATTCTAGTTCATTGCATAGCTCAATGATTGTTTATAATATGATAAAAGATTGGGAACCACACCTATTATAGTTTTGCCAATAGTAAGTTTCTTGTGACCCCATAATTTTCATTGCCGGAAAAACAGGCTCAACTTACCAGGTCACTACACTTTTAGAATTGTATGAATATATACCAATTTTTTATGGTTAATTTGCTTAAGTGTTTTGTTTCTGTCCCCCAAAAATCATGGCATTCCAATAATTCTGTAGTGATAAAATAAGCTTTTGGAAATGGCGAATTTTGCCTATCGAGCCACCTAGTGGCGAATTTTGCCTATTGCAGAGATTGTTCTTGTTATTCCACATAGTAATGCTTAACAGGAGAGACTTTTTAGCATTGTAGGGAAGAATAAGACATCAAGCAGATCCAATCTTCGACTTGATGGTACCCCTTTAAGTATCTTGGCCATGAAATCCCAGTACCCAGAATCATCTACACCATGCAATAAAAGGACACCGGGTGATCAGTTACTGAAGGAATGCAAGAAAGCAACCATGAAATATAATAAGAACCAGCAAGAGATTGAGACTGATGAATCATGATGACTCTGCATGACTCATACTACTGTAAACTTTTTACAGGAAGTTGCAAAAATAAGAAAACAGCATTCAAACTGCATATTTTGGTTGTCTCACTATTTTTTGGGGGAAAAATTAAAATGTCACTATTTTTACTTGCTGGGGGTTGGCATGTCTGTATTCGTAGTACAATTTGCATCAGTTCAGGCTAAGATTGGGCCCAACGTTTGGGCCTTGCCAGTTGAACTGTTACAGGGGCCCAAAAGACTATTACCACACAAAATTGGTAATAGTCTTTTGGGCCCCATATGCATATTGCAAGAACCTGAAAGTACTAATGACACCATCAATGACAAAAAAACACAAACTAAAACATGCAACTGCCGACAGAAACTAAACTGCCCACTTAAGGGAAACTGCCTACAATCATCTCTCATCTACCAGGCAACTGCTAAATGTTTGGACACTAACACAACTGAGACCTACATCGGACTTACAGAAAACGAATTTAATACTCGACACAGGAACCACACTGCCTCTTTCCACCACAAAAAACTAAGAAACTCTGCCAAACTCAGTAAACACATATGCACACTAAAAGACAACAACATCGCTCACAATATCTCATGGAACATCATTACTCACAGCAAACTGTACAACAGCGCCAACAAAAGATACAACCTATGCCTGAAAGAAAAATTCTTCATCACCTACCAACCACAACTATTATCACTTAACAAACGTAACCAACTTATCTTCTATTGTCGACATAGACACAAGGCACTTTTATCCAATTTGTAATCATACACTTAACTTATTATGTAATTCTATCTTAATTTTTACTTTAACATCCTCTTGTATATATAATCTAGCACATGCTTTTGTTTTCATTTAAGATTATTCCCTGAAGAGTGAGAAATCACGAAACAGGCTTGTCAAGATGAAATTATAGTTTTTGTGTATTTTCTTCTATCACTATATATATATATATATATATATATATATATATATATATATGTACAAAGTGTATATACAATGTGCCCTCCCGGCTATCACCACAGTGCAATGGTGACTCCTCCACTTGGAACACAGGACGTATGTATATATATTTATATTGTATGATAATATTAAAGGACACATGCAACATAAAATTCGGATTGTTATTTTTGTACTTTACATGAAGGTATAGCTCCAACTAAAAGTTCACCAAAGTTTGAGACTCAAAGGATAAATATTTTTGAAGATATGGAGGTTTAAAGTTGATGCTTTACTGATAACGTATTGAAAATGCCCGACGAGCTAGCGACAGCTACCGATGTCGTTGTGACGTAATAGTTGACATTCGCTGAACGCGGTCAATTGCGCGCTTCGTTCAAAATATATTGGTAACTTCTTAACAACACGACAATTTAGCATTGAAAATATGGTTTATTGTGCCGCATTTAATTGTAAAAACGGTTCTTCTAAGAAACACGAAACGCAGCAAAAGGTTTCTTTTTTTTCGTTTCCCGAAAACAAGCGTATGCGAGATATTTGGATTGAAAAAATCCGACGCAAAAATTGGAAGCCAACAAAGAGCTCAAAATTGTGCTCGCAACATTTCGAGTTCGTGCTTCGTGCAAAATTTTGAAGCGATGCAATCAGTAGGATGGACAGCAGGAGGGCTTCACTTAAGAAGGATGCTGTACCCACGATTTTGAATACTCTTTGGAACCCACAAGTGTAGCATCTAAAAGGAAGCAGCCAACAAATGTTAGAACTGCATTTGAGAAGAGACGAAGGCAAGAGGTGAATATTATAGTTATAGTTAGCAATATTTGTTTACATTTATCAAAAACTAAGCTATATAATCCTACATGTCAAAACAAAGACCAAAAATCGAGCACTACTTTGATGTATGGCATGTAGCAAAAGGTATAGATTGTCATAACAAACCAACCTTTTACACATTTCATCAATAATTAAATTCCAACAGGAATCAAAAAGAAAATTTTAGCAGCATCAAAAAAAAGTGTTTGCAAATTATTGTCGAATTGGGCCCAATCAATTTCCAACCATGTATACTGGTGTGCTGCTTCCAGCAATGGTGATGAAGAACTTGTCAAGGCAAAGTGGTTGTCAGTTCTCAATCATATATGTGACATCCATGAGGGACATAGTGATGTATTCCCAAAATGTGAACATGATATGTTAGAGCCTAGAATGTGGATAAAAAAAGGTATTGTAAGCAAATAAATTTCAAAGTAACATCAACATTCTTTTTCTTTTTGTTAACTAACTTCTGATCTTAGGTTCAAAAGCTTATGTTGAGCTGTCTTCGATTGTTGAGTCCAAGTATCTCATGAGAGATATTGGAAAACTCAGTTATCAGAAGCAGACTTCATCCATCGAAGGTTTCCACCGAGTGGTGATTCTTTTTGCACCAAAACATACCCATTTTTTCTACAGATCAATGGAAGCAAGGTAATATAATTATGACTAGTGTATGATTACTTAAAAAAGTCATCATTGCAAAAGCAATAAGTTGCAATAGTTGTAAATATAAACTTAACATTCATTTGTAGATTGTTTATTGCTGCTCTTCATTTCAATGAGAATGGAAATAAACCTCAGAAAACGAAAAATGATGGGCAAACAGAAGAGGCATTGATTTGGAGAGTGGCTTATTCAAAGTCAAAAGAAGGACAAGGGGTCATCAAACCAGTGAAAGTTGACAGCACTTATGGTTAGCACAGAAAAATAAACTTACCTTTTCTCAAAGTGCAATGCAAAGCCAACATAAATAATGATTTGCTTTTCAGGATATGTTAAGGACTTGATGAAAGAAGTTTTGTACTGCAGACGCATTAATCCAACACTCTCCAAAGCTCTTGATGTCGCTGGAGTGAAAGAAATACCTGTCCCATTGACTCACCACAAATCAAAAATCAGCAAAGCTGAAGCCATTAAGCAACATAAATCTCGCTTTAATAAATAAAAAGAAATAACGTCCCCCACATGAAATAAACATAATTACAAATGAACAGACTTTGTCATACGCCATAAGCCCTACCATTCAGTAGTGTTGAGCATATTCAAATCCTTTGTATTCTCCAGAAGGCGAAGGAAATGCTTTCCGGATTTTGTCCACAGCACAAGAAGGTATGGGTAGTCGGTACTTTTTTCCCAACCTGCCATGCACCCAAGCCGTCCACTGTCGGTACGCGTGTAGCGTAATGCTCTGAACGATACAAAATTTTGTCTAAGATACTTATCGAATTATACACTTGTCGACATACATGTAATTACACTTCTAAGGTAATATTTACTCGTTTTCTTCACTCTCAGGCATAGGTCCAATGTCATGTGTGTACACGACCATAGCTGTTTTTAAGACAGCTTCGTTTGTACATACTGTGGCAAACTCTTCCTCTTGTGTGATGTATCGCCATGTATCAGAGGACCAGTGTTGTTTACCTCTTGGCAACATATACTTTCCCGTCCTGTACTCATGACCACACAAAAGCCACACTCGCACCAAAAGATAAAAACATTCTTTCTACTTTGGGAAAAACAATGAAGCATCAATAAAATGCAACTAACCATTCAACATTTCCAATTCTGTGAATGTATTCATCTTCGCTTTCCGATGACGAAGAATTGTCATTACTATGACCACCTTCCGCGTTGGCCAAAGGCTCAAACATGTAAAGTTGTACCTCATTGTTATTGACGACAATATCATAATCGGCTTCTTCAGAAGAAGAATCCATTAATTTTTGTTAAATAAAAAACAGTAATAGCAAACTACCGAAAGCCGTGCAAGAATTGCGTGCAAGTCGTAGAACGATATAAGAACGAAGCTTGTTTATGTCAACTATTACGTCACTCTTTCCCAGTTCCCAGACTTAAACAATCTCACGGCGTTTTAGCAATGGTCATCGAATATCGTGTTTTTACCGATTATAACCCTAAATATCTTTTTAAATATTTCGCGGACGACTTTGAAACTTGGTACGTCTTATTTTTACGCTATAGGCATTACAATGAAATAAAGTTGTCTTCTAGCTTGCATGTGTCCTTTAAGGATTCTCTGGATATTTATTTTGAAATTTTTATTAAGCTTTCAACTCGGTGCTTCGAGCCTTTGTCAGAATGTAAGAATATATTATTTACAAAGATTTTGTAGGCGTTTGGAGCGTCTGATTGGTTGGTTAGTAGTTGAGTTGATATTATTGGATGGTATAAGATGCGTTGTCATGGTTTTGGGTGTATGGAATGCGTTAATGAAATTCGAGTGTTTTATTTTAGTCGTTGTGTTATTAGTTTGTTTTGGTTTTGTCTTTAGTTGTGAACAGATGATGGGGATGTCAATAAGTCTGTCTATTGTGTTGTTGTCTTTGCTGTACCATGCCTCTTTGAATTGTCGTGCGTGTTTTGTCTGTGCGCGTCCAAGAAGTTGTGTTTTTGTCCAGTCAAATGTGTGGTTGGTTTCGTAGGTATGTTCTGCTGGTAGTGATTCTTGTGTTCAGTGAGTCTTGTTTCAATTTTCTTGGATGTTTGTCCTATGTACTGGTTGGGGCAATCTTTACATGGTATCATGTAGATCGCGTTGGTTGAGTCAAATGTCGTTGTTCGGTCTTTATGTTTAGTGAAGTATGATTTGAGTTTGTGTGTTGGTTTATGTGCGATGTTTATTTTTAATGGTCGGAGTAGTCTTGATGTCATTTCTGATGTTCCATTTATATATGGTAATGTCACTATTTCTACTGGTTCGTCTGTATCTTCGTTAGGTTTTTCAGTTTGTGGTTGGTTGTGTATTTTGTTTAATACTTTTTTGATAAAGTTTCGTGGTAATTGTTGTTTATGAATGTAGAGTATAAGTAGTTGCATTAATTCTTCTTGACTTCTGTATTGCAGTGTGTTTCAATCCTGTTAAAGAGAGTTCGTATGCAACTAATTTGTCGGCGTCTCTGATGTTGTAATTTAAGCCTTTGCTTAAAATTTTAGTCTGCTGTACGGTGAGTGGTTTGCTTGATATGTTCTTGACCCATGAATGCGTGTTGGTGTTAATTTCCTTAAATGATCTCGATTTTTGTAGTTTTCGTTGGAGTTCGTTGTGTCGTTTTGTTCGATACGCGTTTGTTGTTTCTTTGATGGTTTGATGGATTTGGCATCTGTTTGTGTGATGTGATTCGTAACAGTTTCTCGATGTTGGTTTAATTTTCATCTGTAGATTCGTAATCGGTTGTGAGCGTCAGATATGAGGATGTTCAGCATATGTTGGCCCTTTGATTGTGCTATTTGTTGGGCATAATTCGTTTTTATTGGTGGTTGGTAGTTGATACTGTTCAGTAGGAATCGCTGTTGTTTGCAGTTGTGTAGGAAGTGTAGTTGCTCCAATGTCGATATTTCTTTGCGTGCGAATAATTCCCACTTTCTTCTTATTCTGAGAGTATCCATCCCATATGTCGATTTAATATATTTGAAAATTGGTAACCCTGGCATATTATGATAATATTAAGGATTCTCTGGATTTTTATTTTGAAATTTTTAAGCAAAGGCTTAAATTACAACATCAAAGACCCGAAAAACTAGACTTCTTTGCCGATCTAGAATCCACACTGAAATTCACCAACTTAAGTGATGAAATCAAAGGAGACATTCGCCTTAAAGTAACGACAAACCTCTGCCTCAAAAGACCAGTCACACTTAACAACGAAGAACAAAAAGCGATCAGAAACTTACGAAACGACAAAGACATAGTCATACTACCAGCCGACAAAGGATGCAAAACTGTAAACATGGACAAATCAGACTACATCAACAAAGCGAAGACCCTCCTACAAGACACCAACACGTATGAACCTCTGCAAACAGACTCCAACAAAACCACTACCAACCGCATCAACAAGAAATTAAAACAACTAAAAGGCAAAAAGAAACTTAACAAAACTGTCTACAAAAGAATCCGACCCAACGACTCCTCCCCCGCCAAATTCTATGGACTACCAAAGATTTACAAAGAAAACAACCCGCTGCGACCAATTGTATCTCTTCCTGGATCTCCTACGTATGAACTATCAAAATATCTTTCTAATATTCTGCACCCACTAGTCATTTTCATCACATCATACTATCAAAAATGCCACAACTTTCCTCACCAATATGGCATAGTAAAAGTAAGAGCAACATGCAACAAAAATCATACCCATCATTGGAAATCACAGCCTTTGCTTCACAACAAGCCAGCTGGAAATGTTTTGATTCCTGCAGCAATAATATTAAACAGGGGAACTTTTGAGCCAATGAAGCAATTTTCCATGGCATTTAATTTGAGTTTTGTAAATAAGGATAAATTCTATAAAGTTCAAGATGAAATTGTATTCCCAGTCATAAATTCAACCTATGAAAAGCAACAAAACAATTTATTGCAAATAATAAAAGAAGATAAGGCAATTAACTTATGTGGTGATGGACGATCTGACAGTCCTGGGCACAATGCCAAATATGGAACTTACACTTTAATGGACGAAAGTTCTGGAAAAATTCTTGACTTCTCCTTGGTTCATGTATCAGAGGTTTCTTCTACTTTAGAAGAAATAGTACTCAACAAAAAAGTATTAAAGGACTTAACAAAACAAACAGAATTTCACCACACTGGGGAACTTGAGGTTTACCACACACTTCTCCTAAAATACTTACCCAAACGTCTACACTTTTCCTACAAAGGTATGCTTGCAAGAACCAAGTTCGCAGTGATAGACCACAATGTAAACACTGGCAGAAAACAAGCACAAGTTCAATGTGGAAAGCAGCAAGGGGAAAAGCGATATAATATCGTGTTCTCAAAAGGGCGAAAAAATTGGGTAGCCAAGCCAATTATGTCGAGTAAGTCGAGTAAGTCGTATTCTTTTGTGCAAGGTATGATGGAAGATGTCTGCTGTTTTAATGTAAAAAATGTACATAACAAGATTTCTTTACCAGCAAACATTCCAAGAAATATTGCATCTATAGAAAAGCCAAACAAAGAAAGTGTTATACAAGCACACAAATCAAGAATGGGTAAATAGTCCCCAAAAAATATTTATGTATATATCAATATTTATAATTAATAATAAGAGAATCTCTAATAATAAAGTAGCCCAATTTTTTGTTTTGCTACGCAAATTCATTAGCAAAGGCACTTTTCAGTTATGTACACCAAAATCCTTGCATAGCACAAATAAAGAATTGGTTTGGCTTGGCCATTATAATTTGTATTTATTGTTCATTTACTAAATCCAATTTATATTTTTATTTATTAGTTATTCATCATTAACAATACTCATAAATATGGCTATAATAATTTACATTACGATTATTATTCATCACCAAATTTAAAACCCTCAAAGACAAAGTCCTCTTCTAGACCTGGTGGTTGGAAATATGCTCGAATGCAGCTAACAGCAAAAGATGGTAGTCGTACTCTAATTTCCTTGCCCAATACATTCCAACACCATCGAACCAGATGCCTGTAAGCCACATGTCTTTGTCTTTTGTGTTTAGGTCCTTCTTCAGCTCTTGAACCATAGTGTTGTGTGTACTCACTACATGCCAGTCGTAATATCCAATAATTTAAACAAAGATTTCGAAAAACAGGATTATCTGTAATACAGTCCGAGTATCTATTCCCTCAAATTGTGCCGAGTCTTCATTCATTGTTACAACAACTGAAATTTCTTTGCAACAAACACATTCTTCCACTCTATCCATGATTTGACAACGGCTACATGTGCACCTATTCAGGTAAAATAGCAACTAAATAATCATTTTATATCAAAATATTTAAAGGTTAAAAACTCAAGCGTAATGTGATATTCGACATACGCGTAACATAATTTGGCAGCGTAATTCGTGCGATGAAACATGTAAAAACACAAACGACATAAATTGCAGAAACGAGTAAAATAATAGTATTTACCAGAATTTATCCTGAAGTCTGTTGGGTTCCGATACGGATTCAGTCGATGATGCAGCGGCAACTTCGTCGAAGTCGTCCATAGGCTCGTCGCTAGAGTCTGTTTCAATCGGCTCATAAGCATATGGTTGAATCATGTTTTCATCGTTAATCATTTCTTCGTAGTTTGAAACACTGCTTCAAGAATAATTACTAGAGGAATCGTTTGAGTAATTCTTATCCATTGCACAAAATAATTTAAAAACTTAGAAAATAAAA